ACAGGAATATACCACAAATGTGGATGGCTGAACAAACAGGAGTTTATTCTTTCATAATTTGGATGCTTTAAATCCAAGTTCAAATTGCCAGACTCAAAAGGCTGTGTGAAAACCCCTTGACCTTGGGCTTCAGCTCTAGCTCTTGCTCCCAGCCCACTGAAGCTAGAAGCATCTCTTCACTCAGGCAGCTACTGGCTGCTGAGGCTAACAAGCCCATGGTCAACAAATAAAATGGCACAGTCCCGATGTTACCAAACCACATGGCAGGCCATTAATTTAAGTCCATTGAAAATCCTAAAGTTGGCAGAGCATGGCAGGCTGCTGAACAATGATATGGCTACATGTAGGGACCAAGCGTGCCATAAGCTATAGACTACTCCCAAGGCTTCTCCTTATATACAGGAAGCAGACCACATCCTAAAGGCAGCTACTCAGCTGCTTGTGGTAGATTCCACCATGGAGCTGATTGCCAGTCTCATCATGAGGAATAACTACCACCAGCTGCCCAGCCACTCAACCAGGCCCAGCCAAGTTGACATACAAATTTAACTACCACAGGTATTATTTCAGTAAAACAGAATTAGAAATTCAGTGGTTTTTCTTTCAGATATTGTGGATGCATTGTCAGATCCAAAGAAATTTCTTTCTATTACGGAAAAGAGAGCAGACCAAATGAGAGCTATGGGCATTGAAACCGTAAGTAACAATGATTGATTAAGGGCAGCCAAGCTGGGAGGTCAGCTGTAAAATGGTGATTACAAAAGAATATCAAAGTTATAAATTGATATAAAAAATTAAAAAGAGCTATTTTTCAACTTAGCTAATCAATTCAACCAGTATTTCAGTGGTCTACTAGAGTATAGCACATTTAACAAAATGTGACCACAGTCTGAAAGTCCCACATCATTACCAGTGGTTAATTTATACCTGAGGACCACTTTTCCATTAGAAGCAAGATGGAAAACATTCATCACTTTTAGGCAACTTTAAAATATGAGATGTTTTTATGATACACTGAAATTCCAGCTAACCCAATTCAGTGACCTAATGAAAATAGCACTTATTGTTTTTGTGTTTGTTTTTTAATTAGTCTTGCATCCCACTCTTCTCATATTCTAGTGCACACTGTTTGTTTTTAAATGCTGTCCTTACCATACTCCTCAGTTTGGAGTGGAAGCAGCAATCTCTCCAGTAGCTAGAAAATGAGAAATTGTACCCTGTTTATAAAATAGTTGGATCTTCTTTTCTTGTCCTGATCCTTTGCTTCAAACCTAAGAAAATCAGGTAATCTTTACACCTGCCAGCAGAGACCCATTAAAAGTATGGGAAGAGGAAGGGAAGAAGTTGAGAAGCATGGAGTATCTTGATTCAGAAAAATAAAATGTATGCAAGAATTGTGGTACATTCATTTGGGTCATTGTTTCTGTTCCAGAGTGACATAGCTGATGTGCCCAGTGACACTTCTAAGAATGATAAGAAAGGAAAGACCAACACTACCAAAGCAAATGTGACCCCTCAGAGTAGCTCTGAGCTCAGACCAACCACTACAGCAGCCCTAGCATCTGGCATGGAAGCCAAGAAAGGTAAGGAGGAGTTCCTTGGACTCCTTTTCTGTTCTGGCAATTTTAGAGTCTTTCTGAAGAGTCTTCTTTTATGACAATATTTAGAACTATTAACTTTGCCTATTTTCAATGTCCCATAAAACTCAAAAGCAACATGATTCCATGTGGATTTGACAAACTATTTAATTTCCCTGAGTGTTTATTAGCAAGTCAACACTGACGTTTCATCTGTTTTATCCTTTGTATCTCAGTTACACTGAATCCAATATCTGTGGTTTTAGAAAAGTTTGAATTAAGTGTCCTTTATGGAAAAAAAAAAAAAAAATCTTTCACACACTGATGTTTGCTATCACCTCCACTCTCTTCTGGATATCATGGATACTTATCTGGACAGGCAATGGGTTCATGAACCAAGCATCACCATTGTTGGAATATTTCTAGATTTCCTTGTTGATAATTTATGTCCATTGGCAAATATTTAGCATCCATATCATTATTTTTCTGTAAAATTATCAGATGGGAATTTGAAGTCCAATTACATGTGACTGACTACCTGTGAATGAAACATAAGAATCATAAGATGTGTCATAACAAAAACTTAAGTGTCTCAGTTGCTTGCTAATATTCAGCCATTACATAGAGTATCAACTAAAATGTTATTTAAAGTTGACTTCCATTCTAATTGGCCAGACATTGTTCTGACTGTATAGTGTCCATGCCACACTTGCAATTAAATATTTTAAATATTCTCCTTGACTATCAATGAAAATTCACTCTTCTTACTTTCATAAGAATTTCTATTTTGCCTAATGATTTTTTTTACTCAGTATGTATATTTTCCATTTAGTTGTGAATTCATTGTCCTTGGTCTAAGGAAATCAAGTTGTTCATACACTTAACACATACAGCACTGCAATTTAAGTTGAAAAACAACAGACTTTCCCAAACCAAAGCAACATAGTAATTTAGTAGGAAACTGAAAGTGCATTGAGTCTTGTGAAACAAATTAGAAAATGAGACTCCACAAAAGTAACCCAATTTGTACTTTGCTAGCAGCTGTTTTTCTGTTCTTTCCTGAAAAAAGCATGGAGCAAGGTAATGATACAGACTTTGGCATTCCATACCAGCAGCACTGGTCATTACATTAGCCATTCTTAGAGATAAGCAGTGGAAAATGGAAGAGGTTTTTGTTTGGTTAAAGGTCTTGTACCACACAAGAGTACATGGAGACATTAATAGTAATAGTGAGTTAAGTGGCCTGAAAAGCAATACAGTGTGACCATATTGCAGAGTACAAAAAATAATCTGTGTTCTAGAAAAGAACATGCTTATGTTTAGAGCTGCCTTACCACAGCTTCCAAATAAGGCTGC